GAGCTAAAAGGATGAACGCCTCCCCACAGATAGGCTCACTGGGTGAAGGAGTGCAGGGCAGAACATGGCCCCATCTAAAGGGGAAAATGGAAAGCTATGGCTCCAGGGCAGGTGGTGCTATTCAATATCATTTAGTACTACACTTCCAAGAAGCTGAAAATAAGTTCCTGTAGCAAATTGAGAATATGAATTCAAGGTTTGTAGAAAAAGGAGAAAAAACTCATAATAAGAACATTTGCTTGGCAATGAATAATTTATATATTTTTTTCAAATATAAGATTGCACTCTCTCTGCTTTATTTACTGCAACTGAAGTAAAAAAAAAATCAATCAACAAAGCAACATTCGCTTAAAATAAGAATCTGCAGAAGGCACGAAGTATGTCTTTTCTTAGAATAACTATCTCAGTGCCAGGGTACGTAAAGATTCATGAATGATGGAGTTCATAATTATATTCTTGCATGAAAATCTATCAAAATAATGTTATCATTTCTTTCTCCTCTTTTATTTGAAAATTTGAATTGTGATGCCCTTTTGTAGAAAACTATAACCACCACACAACCATGACGCTTTTATCAACTAGTGAGGCCAGAACTTAAGAACAACACAACAAAGTTCTCTTCCTCAGCTCATTAACCCTTTGCACTCCGAACCATTCTGGACATTGGCTACCAGCTACTCGACGCTACTTTGCGGCGGAAACATGCATTTACAGACCCTCATATTATTTAGTATAATTTTGGAACCAAGTAACGTATTATAATGATATTGGACTTATATGAATTGGGTGACATCGAGGAATGTATATTTGCAAAAAAAAAACAATACTTTATTGTTTATAATTTTGTACAGTATGATAAGTTTTGTAACACTCCCCAATATGCATTGCAGGCTGATTAGTGCATGTTTGACAGTAATAAGTGGTTTGACGCCTGCCACCAGGTGTTTTCCTGTTAGAACACACAATGCAGTCCCGTTTTCTTTGTCCCACATCGGGAATATGTAGTTTATTGTTTAATCCGACACAAAACCCGCTGACATTTCTTGTATATATCTTAGTAATTTTACGATATTTTGATTTAATTTCTTGTGCCATTTCAAGATAAAACTTCAGGGAAACATGCATGTCTCAAAAAGTTGCGTTGAAATAACTCAATTCCCCGTAATCACTAATAAACTGCAATGTCCCCTGAGAGGGGACAGCGGAGTGCAAAGGGTTAATCAAGAGCATCTTCAAAAGGACAAGAGAAGCACAGTGAACATTAGGTTAGTACACACCATGAGTTCCCGAACATATTTCCTCCATGTCATCACTTCCTGTCTCCCAGCCCAACTCAATGGAGGCCCAAAAAAACGACAGTATTCACCATGGAATTTCCCCATCCCACCCGCCAGATACTTTACTGCTAACAGTGTCCTTAGGTACTTTGTTTTACTGAAGAGGAAAACAAGTATGATGACAAACTGCTTCTGTCAATAAGAAGTGAAAAGAACAATTAGCAGCTGTATAGCCCTCTTGTGCCTGGAGCCTTTGAAAACTTAATAATGGTTTACAAGTATCCTGCCGATTTTTTTTACCAAATACTAGCCTCTTTTAAATATAAGAAGACCAAAACTTTGTTTTACTTGGGGGCAGGGGGAGGTTAATTCCTATACTCATGCCTCCATATATAAGAAGTATCCTAAATTTTTCTACCTAAAAAATAAAAATGTCCACAGATCAAAGAGGCAAACCATGTGCTGGTGCCAGTACAGAAATGGAAGCCAATGGGAAGCACAATTCCAAAGCCCCCTCCAGCCTGCTCCTTTAGGACCCTTTTAATGAGGGGAGATCACACCAACCCTGACTGCCGTCTCCACGTCCACCTGAGGCAGGCCAACAGCTCCTGCAGAGCTGCTGTAGCAGAAGCCTAGAAAGTTCTTGGCAGCGAGTTGTGCTACTGGATAGTTACTAAAGGTGGACCAAGTTTGAATACCTCAAATTAAGGCATATTTTTAAAATATGAAAAGACAATAGACCTGCCATAGTACATACAGTAGCTACTCAACCAGATAAATCTTGAAAAATACAGAAAATGGTGTTTATCTACAGATAGACCAGTAAGGCTTCCCGAACATCATGCTAAGTATCTACACATGAATGGAACATGCCACCAAGACAGAGACGCATTGTGCTCAGGATACTTTCACAAAGTCATTCTATGGACTGGGCTACAGACATTTATAGCTGTGCAGCCCAAACAAAACAAAAACAAAGCCTCTCAAACAAGTTTAGGAAACTTTTGTTTAAACAAAATTAAAAAGAATACTCTTAAAGCAGAAAACTCAAGAGGCAGTAGTTTGCTAACCAGCACTGTGAATTTCTAAGGGGCTCTGAGATGTGGGAGTAGACTGTGCCTCATGGTATCAGTAGGTCACCACTGCCTTGAATAATATCTTTGGCGTCTTCTGTATAGATTAGGAATCAACTCATAGAAGCAATATCCAACCTCAATGGCTCATAATAACGTGCACAGAACTGTGTGGATAACAAAATCCAGGTCTTTAATTTGAGTTAACACTTCTCTCTCTTTTACTAGTATTTCATCAGTGCCAACACACAGCTAAGGCCAGATAACAGATGTGATAAGAACAATAACAAAAGAATTCTGGGACTGGCCCAGCTTCCATCTAGGAAAATATCCTGAAGAGAGCTCAAAGACCTTTTCCATTTTATTGGCCTACACTCCCTCTATTTGAGTGACATTATAAGGGGGAAAAAACTGATAAAAATTTTCCAATATCATAGTTACCTTTGAACCAAGTAAGTTATTTTCTTTCTTTTTTTAAATATATTTTTATTGATTTCAGAGAGGAAGGGAGAGGGAAAGAGAGATAGAAACATCAATGATGAGAGAGAATCACTGATCAGCTGCCTCCTGCACGCCCCCTATTGGGAACTGAGCCCACAACCTGGGCATGTGCCCTTGACCAGAATCGAACCGGGGACCCTTCAGTCCGCAGACCAGTGACACTCTATCCACTGAGCCGAACCAGGTAGGGCCCAGGTAAGTTATTTTCCATTCCTAAAAGGGCCTCCATAAAGAAGCCCCTACAGAATACCCCCCCACCCTCACAGAGTACACCCACATCTGGGAGAAGGTTAGGAGACCTTTCCACATTATGCCTCCTCCCTTGTTTCTGAATTACGTGGAGCAGGTGAGTTCCCCCCTAAAACCCATGTAATTCCTGAAAGTCCATAAAGACCTTTATGTTGGAGACACTTGGTAGTTCTCTTGAAAACTACAGTATACTTAGTGAATGTAGGCCAGCCGTGGGCAAACTACGGCCCGCGGGCCGGATCCGGCCCATTTGAAATGAATAAAACTAAAAAAAAAAAAAGACCGTGCCCTTTTAGGTAATGATGTTTACTTTGAATTTATATTAGTTCACACAAACATTCCATCCATGCTTTTGTTCTGGCCCTCCGGTCCAGTTTAAGAACCCATTGTGGCCCTCGAGTCAAAAAGTTTGCCCACCCCTGATGTAGGCAGAGAAAAGTATTACCCTTGAGAAAAAAGGAAGAGAATGAACACAGGGACAGTTCCACCTGTCCCAAACAAACACTGTGCCAAAATATTCCAAGGTGGGCTCCACAAGCAAAATTACCATTTCCACGCATTGATATGGAGTGCAATGGGATTATAAATGCAGAATTACAGTCATGTTACAATGATACCCATGTTGTACATAGAAGCAGATTGAAGAGCAAATTAAAGAAGGTGGTAAACAATGTTCTAATAATTTGCAAACTTATGAGTGTATAACAAAAATTATGTACTTTGTAGAATTTGGATTCGAGGCGCCAGGGTGATAAAGATTTGAAACTGAGCACAAAAGGACCCCACTGCATTGCCTGCACACACTTCTTACTAAAAGTCAGTGACCTGCACTCCACATCTGTACTTCAAATCATTCTTCGCCCTATGATGGACCGTCTAGCCTACAGCGGTTCTCAACCTGTGGGTCGCGACCCCTGAAAATACATCCTGCATATCAGATATTTACATGACGATTCATTACAGTAGCAAAATTACAGTTATGAAGTAGCAACGAAAATAATTTTACGGTTGAAGGTCACCACAACATGAGGAACTGTATTAAAGGGTCGCGGCATTAGGAAGGTTGAGAACCACTGGTAGGAAGTTCTATTCTCACTTGTGGGTGACAATCCTTTTTTTATTCAAAACAAACAAACAAACCAAAAAAAAACAAAACAAACCAATAACCTTGAGATGCTTGCTTCACTTAACAGACACCTCCACAGCATTTTTAAAATCTCAGTTCAGTGTTCATAATAAACACCAAAGCAAAAGTGGAAGAGCTGCATGACAGATGTCTTAGCTTTCCCTCTGAAAAGCTCCCCATTTCATGGAGGACACATACTGTAACTGCCAGGCAAGGGCAAAAGATAATATAATTCATGGGCCACAATCTGAACACAAAGACTATTTTTATGAGCAAAAACTGGAATGAAAGAGAGCACACTGATTTGTTTTTCATTGCTACCCATCTCATCAAAATTAAAGAAAAAGTTAAATTAAGCTTCACTTAGAGAAGTGCCATCATAAAAAGTGACTGCACATAATTGGGCAAGGTAAGCCAATGTAAATAATAATGACAGTGTACCCCAGCATTCCCTTTCCACCAGTTTTATTATTTAAAATTTTCTCAGAATGTGTAATACCAAAGTGGATAAAAGTGTTTGCTATGGACTTACTTACCCTACTTGGGGCTGTCTGTGAACAACATACATTATCAGGAGAAAATGCATTTTTCTCCAAATGTCAAATTTTATTCCAGTCAACAGATAAAAATAGAAAAAGGTCGCTTCCCTAGAGACAAATAAATGCCACGAGAATTTTAAAATTATCTCATTCTGACACCAAATTCCACCAACAGTAGAGACAGCCACATTTTTATTAGGGACATGAAAAATTCAGTGTTACTCACAAGAATGGTTCCATAACTGAAAAGGAACTCTTCCGTCACAACTCGAGGTCGAAATACCTGCGTGGTGAGAGTTCCCATAGATTAGATCCTGAAAGTCATGTACAAGGGGAAAAAAAATGAACATGTTTTGTCTGAGTTGGCGTTTCTCAGCTCTAGTTTACAAAGAAGGTGAGTCACAGCCTCGCCAGAGTGGCTCAGTATTTGAAAGTCGACCCATGAACCAAGAGGTTGCTGGTTCCATTCCCCGTCAGGGCACATGCCGGGGGTGTGGGCTCGATCCCCAGTAGGGGGCGTGCAGGAGGCAGCTGATCAATGATTCTCTCTTATCATTGATGTTTCTCTCTCTCTCTCCCTCTCCCTTCCTCTCTCTCTAAAAAAATTTTAAAAAATCAATAAAAACATATTTTTTTTAAAAAAAGAAGGGAGTCGCAGCCATATTATTTTCCTCTGGATAAGATCATACCTGGGAGGTGACGAGGTGAAGCACCACGGGCATCAGGGGCAGACACAGCTTCAGCTGCTTCGCCTGAACTGGTGACGGGTGTTTACGACCGGACACATTAGCCAGGGCGGTGAGAATGTCACCTGCGGAGGTGAAGGTCACGGATACTCAGGGACCGCCCGTCATGGCTGGAAAACCAGTAAGATTGCTGAGGGAATGAACCTCCACGTAAATGGAGTGGAGAGAAGCTGAGATATTACTGACAAATATTGAGACTATAACAAAACGCTGTGGCTTCTAAACCTCTCACCTAGAAATCTGAGTTTATAAATAGCACGGTAGAGTGGGGGGGGGGGTCTTAGAAATAATTTTCCTTCCTTTTGTGTGTGTGTGTTTTCCAAATTTTAAGCATAAGTGCCTATTACTTTGGTAAACAGAAAAAAAAATTAAAGATAAGTGAACAGATTATAGATCACAATTTCTAATAGAATAGATGGAAATAAAAAAACAGGTCAATTCATAAAACTTCTCATTGGATGATAAGCCCAATAGTAAATAAAACTTGTGTTGTGGATATTTGAACCATATCATCATCTCCTAAACAGAATGAGACTAGTAGTAAGAAACTCGACTCACAAAGCCGTCAGACTGAAGATTAAAGAAAGGTTACAATCCAAAATAAATTTTGAAATGCTCTATTTTCAGTCATTAACAGGCAAAAAAATCTCCCAAAGTATCAGTAAGAAGCACAGAGGCATATCGTTCAGCCATGAAGATATTTCCATTACTCTGACTTCATATCATGAATTTCAGAGTCTAAGTATATTTTACCATCATGGGTGGGATCAGTTTAGCATTTACACATTCCTGGTTTCATGCTACATCTGCTGCAAAAGCATGGAATGGGATTTAAACTAAATGTAAGCACCCCTTAGATTTTAATTTCTGCAAATAACAACGAAATCAGGGATTAGCTGTCATAAACATCTTTTGCAAATCATTATGAGATATTTTTTAATTTTTCAAACTATAGACAGTTTTCAATTTTAATATCGAAAGCCGCTAATATTAACTGTTAATGGTTATGCATTCCTAAGTCCCTTTAACAATAAATTAATCTGTGGTTCTCATCTAAGAGAGTAAGTTTTTTAAGCAGAGAGAAATTTAAGAAAGGCTACCCAAGATAAGAGCCTAAGTCCGATTTTGAGCAATTAAAGTGCTTTTCTTTTACTTATTTTTCAAAACCACCCATTTACCATAGATGACACCCCAACATAACCTTTAGCCGGCCCCTTGCCTCCATCACCTCACTGATGCAAAATAACTAGGAAGACAGATAAGGCACGTGGAGATCTTGAAACTACACATTCAAGACAGAGTGGCACTGCACTCGCCTGAAATCACACACCAGCGAGAATAAAAAGGGGGCGACGCGGAAAAGCCAAGTCCCGGCAAGGTGAGCAGCGAGGGGCCTGGGGAGGAGACTGCGATTTACCCAGGAGGCGCGGCACTTCCCGCACCATGTGGCGGATGAGGAGGTCCAGGCATCTGGACAGGTACTCGCTGCCGCTCGGCTGCCGCTCCTTGCCTGGGGAGGTCTTCCTGCTGTCCCTCTCGATGTGCATCACCAGTCTGCAAGCAGAAGAGTGCGACAGGTCACCTCGCAGGAGGAGAGAGCTGATGGCATCTGTCTGAAGGTGCCGCCGAGGCACCGGCTCCAGGGGGCGGGCGGACCCAATCATGCTGACATTCAGATGGGTAGCAACAGGTCAGGCACAGCCCATTTTGGTCTCAGAAAAAGTCTCCCATTTATGCAGAAAGACAGGCAGACAGACAACTGGCATCTCCGCCAGTGTATGACAGGACAGCGCCCTGACGATGTCATCTGCCCTGGGCCCATGAAAAGAAACCGCATTCCCCAGGTGACAGTGAAAGGCAAACAAAGGCATCTGGACAGAAGACGGTTCTTGGAGTTTCGAAGATTCAAAGTAGAACCAACCACAGGCTGCCTGCACTTTGTCATCAGTATTCAACATATTCAACTTGCTTGGAACCTCGGGCCAATTGCATGAATTCCAGTTCCTTTAGTAAATCGTGTACATACATCCAAAGAAAGAGTTTTGCTCCATCACCGGGTTTCATATGTCCTTTTGTCCAGTAGTTTTATGATATCTGCCTTTTAATGCACTTATTTCTTCTTCAACATCAATTTCTGAACCAACTGTGTCCACCCCAGAACGCGGGATCATATTGGACCATCACTCTAGGTCAGTGATGGCGAACCTATGACACGCGTGTCAGAGGTGACACGCAAACTCATTTTTTTGGTTGATTTTTCTTTGTTAAATGGCATTTAAACATATAAAATAAATATCAAAAATATAAATCTTTGTTTTACTATGGTTGCAAATATCAAAAAATTTCTCTATGTGACACGGCACCAGAGTTAAGTTAGGGTTTTTCAAAATGCTGACACGCCGAGCTCAAAAGGTTCGCCATCACTGCTCTAGATACTCAGGATGCTGTTCACAAGTTTTAGGCCCATATCCATCCCCTTTGCTGGACCCACCAGTCGTCTTCCCGTTCCCCTCAATGCTCTAAAGCAGTGGTTCTCAACCTTCCTAACGCCGCGATCCTTTAATACAGTTCCTCATGTTGTGGTGACCCCCAATTTCATTGTTACAAATTGAACATAATGAAAGCATAGTGATTAATCACAAAAACAATATGTAATTATAGATGTGTTTTCCGATGGTCTTAGGCGACCCCTGTGAAAGGGTCGTTGGACCCCCAAAGGGGTCGCGACCCACAGGTTGAGAACCGCTGCTCTAAAGGCACAGAGCCCACTGACTGCATTAGGCAGAGGCCCCTGTGCAGCGGCCCCCTTGCTGGCCTCCCTGGCCGCCATCCATCTCCCAGCTCTGTTCGCACACTCATCCCAGCCAACTGCTACTTCTCAGGGAGAACTTCCAACCAGCTCCCACTGCCAACTGCAAAGAGGTAGTTTACACGTAAAGGGTACTGAAAGCTTAACCCTTAGAATCTTTGTGGCTCTCTTAGCAGATTTATTCATGGTTTTGCCTTTCTGCTTATTATTATTTGGAGCCTTATGTGTGAACACATGGGGATAAAACTAAATCAAAAGTCGTAAGTGCAGCCCTGGCCGGTTTGGCTCAGTGGATGGAGAATCGGCCTGCGGACTGAAGGGTCCCAGGTCTGATTCTGGTCAGGGGCGTGTGCCTTGGTTGCAGGCACGTGCCCAGTGAGGTGTGTGCAGGAGGCAGCTGATCGGTGTTTCTCTCTCATCGATGTTTCTAACTCTCTATCCCTCTCCCTTCCTCTCTGTAAAAAAATCAATAAAATATATTTTTTTTAAAAGTCGTAAGTGCCATGTAAGCCGGTTAGCATCCTCTGTTCTAGTTGCAGATGACAGCCCAAGCCACACTCTAACGAGTATATGACATTGGTCAAATGCAGAGAAAATATGCCTAAATCAGCAGAAATATATCAGTACTGCTTAAAGAATCTGACCACAAAACCACTTGATTAATGAGTAAACCAAAGAAATAGGACTCCACTATTTCATAAGTGAAATCCAAAATTTGCAGAGTATAAAAAAGTAAATTCTCACTTGTCTATAAGGAGTCATATTTTTCTCTAAAATTTAAATGATCTATGACAAAATTTAATAACGTGCAGCTTAATTACCATAGTTTAAAATATCTGTAAGGCAAAAGCTACTCAAATAGTTTTCAAACACTAGTACAGGCTGTTAACACATAAGAAAACACTCACTGGCTCTGCTGGGAGAAATAAAAGACTGATGGGCGCCATAACAATATGAAACAAACTCTAGAATGATGCTCCGTTTCTTCCTTCCGGGACGCTCTCCCCAGTGCCTCCCATCACAGAATGTGTTTACACAAGCTACAGAATAAATTCACTTTACCGACAAGGGAACATTAGTTACTAAAGAATTCACAGTCTACGAAAGGAATAAAATATGGGAACATTTGAGGGTAGTATCCATAAACACTTTACCACTGCTCTACAACCAAACTGCACATGATATTTCCTGGTGTCCTACAAGGGTATCAAGTTAAAAAGATCAACAATCTGAACAGTAATCCAAGTAGACCACAAATAAATAAGATCCCTTCTTTGTTTTGCTTCCAGTGCCTTTAAGAGGATCATTTCTCCCCAGGATTGTGTTTCCCAATCTACTCCCACCCCCATTTTCCCCCAGGATTCATTCCCACTAACTGGACCACACTTTCCTTACTCCCATCTCTAAAGGAATCCTTATGCTCATTCCACACACATCCACCTCTATGCTTCCCTCCCTAGAATGTCCACCTACTGTATCTCCATGCTTCCGTGGCCAAACGTGCCATGTCCTATACTTGTTTCACCCTCTAGTACCTACACCAGGGCAGCGCCTATCGTAAAATGAGCTCAGTGACAACAAGGATGAGGACATCTCATCCACTCACTCCATGAACATTCGCAGTGTCTACTGCGTGCTGAGCGTTTTTCTAGTGGAGGGGTATTCAGCTCATGGAATGCAAATTCAAGTGGGAAGAAAAAGGCCATTAACAAATAAATACCTAAGAAATCGTTAAGGTGATGATAAGCCTTATAGCAAAGATTAAAGAAGAGTAAGAAAGACAATTAGTCACAGGTCAGAGCAGGCCCTCTGGCAAGGTGTCCTGTAAACAGAGGACGGGAATGTGTTGAAGGGAGGGTCACACGTTCCAGGCAGTTGGGAGGTACATACAATATCCCAAAGGCCAGGCCATGGGTGGTGTGTTCTTCTGGGGCTGGAGCTCAGTGAAGGAGGAGATCAGAGAGCAAACCAGGCTCTAGCCCTTGTCAGACCTTGTAGGCCATGCTAAGAACCTTGCACTTGCCCTAACCGGTTTGGCTCAGTGGATAGAACGTCGGCTTGCCGACTGAAGGTCTCAGGTTCGATTCCAGTCAAGGGCATGTACCTTGGTTGCGGGCACATCCCCAGTAGGAGGTGTGCAGGAGGCAGTTGATCGATGTTTCTCTCTCATCAATGTTTCTAACTTTCTATCCCTCTCCCTTCCTCTCTGTAAAAAATCAATAAAATATATTAAAAAAAAAAAAAAGAACCTTGCACTTTACCCCCAGTAGGGAGGAGTGGCCTGATCTGATCTGTGGTTAAGTCAGCACTCGGGAGACTGTGAGAACAGACCATAGAAACACAGGAAGACCAGTTAAGAGGCAACTGTAACAGCTCCGGTGAGAAACTGGTGGTAGTGTGGGAAGGATATGAATTGATGAGATACTGGGTGTCGTTGTAAGGTATAAATAATTAGATTTGCTATTGGTTGGACATGAAAGAAAAGAAAGAAACCAAGAGTAACTCCAAGCAGCTAACCAACAGGAAGGACAGAGCTGCCACTGATTGAGATGGGTGAAGATCACTGGAGTAACAAGTCTGCGGCAGGAAAACCATTATTAGACGTAGAAATGCCGATGTCGTGTTGGCAGCTGATGTGCAAGTCTGAGTTCACAGGGACGGTCGGGCTGGTGGCATTAATGTGAAAGTGCTCCTGGAGCAGATGATGTTGAAGGTCACTGAACTAAATGAATCACCTGGGGAGTACAAGGCTCAGGACTGGGACTTGGAACCACTACCACACAGGCTAACAGGTGAAAAAGGACCAGCAAGAGAAATGGAGAATGAGTGACCGGTGAAGAATGAAGAAAACCAAGAAAAGTAGCCACGCTGCCAGTAGAGAGACTTCAAGAAAGAAGACAGTAGACGTCTAGTTTCTGGTAAAGGTGAGTCAGGCTAGTCAGCCAAGCCTTCCCACCACAACAAAACAACAATGAAGAGTGCTGGATGAAATACATACCCACTTAATATATAATCACATCAAATTGTGTAGATTACACATAAACAAAAAAAAAGTGCCTAAGACAACTGTCTACTATTAAAAAAGAACTTTCAGTGAAAGCATCATACAGTGGTGTAAAAAGTGCTATATCAGAGACAATTTAAATGCAAAAGGAGAAGGTATACCCTGAAATACTGTGTCAGGTGACGCAGAACAAACTCAAGGAACTGATGTCAAACTCTGCGGTGACACTTCAATAAAGCAGTTTAAAAAGGGGCACGTGGACTGTTGAAATAAGTGTATTTTATGAAATGTAATAACAAAAAAATCCTAAAGCAATACATTATTTTGTTATTGCTTTTTTTAAAGCAATACATTATCTTATATATGAAATTGTAAGTACATATGTGTAACAACAGTAACAAATTAGGTATCTACCGTCACAGAGGGATATTTGTACATTTCATCAAATTCCTAAAAGATGTATATATTCAACAGGGTTCCAAAAGAAACGTCTTTTTTGAAACTTCCATTGCACGAGGCTTAGCACCACTAAGTAAGTTAGTAACTAACTCGTTTACTATCATGGTACTCAACATAAATAGATACCGGATCAAGGAACTTACTGATAGCAAAAGAAGTATGGTAACCTGCTCCAGCCCATGAAATTCACTCATCTCGCCAGTATCCCATTAGAAAAGCCTAGCTTGACTGAAAGAAGGAATGGCCTCCTGACAACTCAGTCACAGCGCACTG